TATGGTAGAGAGAAAGAGTGAGAGATTGACATTGATATTGACATTGAATTCGACATCGAACTAGCATATACACCAAGCCTAAACCTGGACATTCATTTCGTTACATTTCCCTAACCCCCAGCCCAAATCCCAGCACCAGCACCAGCAGGACCATACCCTCCCTTCCACCCCAAACCCAAACCCAAACCCAAACCAACCCTCCCTCCTTCCCTCCCTACGCAACCCCAACCCCCACCCCCACCATCCCGACCCCCCCAACACCGCCCCTACTTCTCGCACCCACAAACCCCTGCCTCTGCCTACCCGTCCTACCCCTACCCAGCCAATTATACTTCAACTCCTTATTGACCCGCCCAATCTTGTCCTGCGCCTCATCGCCGCTCTGCAGACTGACGAGCACACTAACGCACTGCAGCATCCGGCCCACCGTTTCCGTGACCTTGGCGCTGTCCATGGGGGTCGAGTGGTGGCGGAGTGGTGGGGGCAGGTGTTGGGGGTTTAGGGATGTGGATGATGGTGGGTGGGGGTTGAGTGTGGATGCGGAAGAGGAGGAGGGGGGAGGGGGGAGGGGTTGGGTGTGAGAAAGGGTGTGGGGGTGTACGCTTGGATTCGAGGAGAAGGAGCCGGCGGAGGTGTTGGATGTGGCTCGGGAGCGGGTCGATGCAAATGTGGAGCTTGTAATGGACGTAGTCGACTCGAGGTATCCGGCCGAGGACTGCGAGGCCGAGTTCAGGGAACCCAGGGTGGCTTCGTTGGACATGCTTCCTGCTGTGCCTGGTCTGCCCGTGGCACCACCCGCACCACCCATCGTTTGTTGGTCTTGGGGAATCGGCGACGGGGATTCGAGGCCTGCGTTTAGATTTTCCAGGCTGAGGCGGGAGAAGATGGCCATGAGGGCTTCGTAGCGTGGCAATATGACTATGTCGCGGAACATTAATAACGTGATGCGCCGGACGTCTAATTCGCCGAGGATGGGTATGTTTTTGTGCGAGGGCGACTTGGTGTTCATTTCGTCCGGGAGCATGACGCCCCAGAACTCTGCGGCTTGTGCACTCGTCATGATGCCGGAGCCTCTAAACTCGAGGTCAAGAGGGAGGAAGACGGCTTGGAGAAAAGGGAGGATGGTGGTGAAGACGACAAGCCACATCTCCACCAAATGTGGAATCAGCTTTTCGTCAGGCACATGTCGGAGGGTCTGGTCGAGCGAGCCAAAGCCCGTTTGGAGAAGCTCGTTGAGGTCTTCGATGAGCAGGATGGGAGAGCGTTTATGGACGCAGCGTTTGATGTGGATGGTGACTAGCGCATTGAAATCTTCCACGGGCGGTCTGGGGTCTTCGCCTTCAAAGATCAATAATACTCTTGCCTTGAGCAACGGCCAGGCGTCATCTGGCGACAATCCGTGAATACCAAATGAACTCCCTAGACTCATCATCTCGGCCGTATGCGAGGTCTGAGGTGTGGCGCCTAGATTTGGTGTGGCGCCTATGCCGCCGGCTATGCCTGGCCATTCGGAGCGCTCGATGCTAAAGGATTGGTTGCGTTCGCGATAGGGTGGTTCGAGTTGTGCGTCCAAAAAGGCAGCCGCCTTTTCCTCCTTCTTCGCTCTCCGCAAATGTCGACCCCCATGCCGGAGATCCAGGCCCGTGACCGAACTGGTAAAGGCACTCGTGTGGCCCGGCGAATTGGGCGCAGCAAACGAGTACAATGGCTCGGGCGCATTCGGATTTGTAGGTTTGGAGTTGCTGTTGGCCGACGACAACGGTAGCGCGTATCCGTCGCCATCCTTCAACTTGTGTTTTTGGCGCGACAAAAAGTGGTGTTTGTGCTTCTCCTCCTTGCGTTCTGGGGGCAAAAAGGAATCACTGCGTGGCGGGACCAAGGTCGAGGTCGAGGCATTCGCCGACGAGTACATGGAGGCACTACTACTGCTCGGCGCTCCCGGCTCGACCAAGCTCGTCGTCGACTGGGCCATGATCATGCGATTCAGCGCCTGCGAGCTGTGGATGCCAATGCCAATCTTGCCGGGGCTGGGCAGCGTCTGGTGTTTGCCATCCAGACGGTTGTTGTCCACCTTGATGTTCTTGGGCTTGGAGGAGAAGAGCTTCATCTTGCTCTTGCCCTCCTTGGCCTTTTGCAATTGCGGCGGCTCAGGCGTCGACGCAGGCTTGGGCGACGCATGGGACTGCGGTTGCGACTGTTGTCCGCTCTCTAGGCTGGGTGACTGCAGCGGACTCCTGGGAAAGGCCGCATTCGCCGCCGTTGTCGCCGCCATCCGGCCGCCGACCAGGCCATTCGAGTACGTCATACCATTCGTCTTGAACGTGACACTCTGCGACGGCAACGGCGGCGGGCTCATGGGCACCGGCCTGGCCGTGGGCGCGGCGGCGTCGCTCCTCGCGGGTATCGTCTCGGAGCGCTTACGCATGTGCTGTGGGTTCTGCGCATAGGCAGCCTGGGCGGCGATTTGCGAGGCATTGAGGAGCCCATGTGCGGCCGCCTTGGAGCCCATGGCCTCCCTCCCTTCCCGCGTCGAGCTCAGACTGGGTTCAAAGTAGCCCTGACTTCTCTGTCGCGGGCGGTGTCCAACATGCACCGCGCCAACATGTCCTTGACTCTGAGTGGCATCGCGCACAATGCCTGGCCGCGAGTAGTTTTGCGGTGGTGGTGGCAGGGGCGCGCCATCCGCCGTGGATGTGGGGGAGCGTACGCTGGGCGCTGGACGTGAAGTACCGGGTGCAGGCAAAGGCGAACGGCGCTGTTGTTGCTGTTGCTGCTGTTGCTGCGGTGTGATTTGCGCCGAATCCGAGTCCGACGAGTCAAGTGACGTTGGGCGGCGGATAGTAGGTGTCGTCTGAGTGGGAGGTTGAGATGAAGTGTGTGACGGCGTGTGAGACGGAGGGTGAGGCGGAGGAGGAGGAGGAGGCGGAGGAGGAGACGACGACATGACGAGATCTAAAAGTTTCTTGAGTACAGCAGTAGGTCAACTACCATACAGCACCGTAGCTATCGTCCTTTGTTCCTTGTCGATTGCCGTGTTGTTCTTTCGTGAGATGGCCGACGCAGACGCAGACACAGAGACAGCCACAACCTAGTCGCCGACCAAAAACAGCCGCAGGGAAGTCGCTGCTAGAGTAGTGCTCTCATGGCCAGCATGGAGTTACCAGGAGTGAGGAAGGCATGTACGCATGAGATACACGGCAGACGAGTTGGGTCGCTGGATTCGAGCAGCAGAGTGTAGGCAGTGTTGCGCGAATGGGAATCGAGTTGTGACATGGGATCGACGACTAAAGCGGCGTGGCGGGGTGTCATCTAGCTACTTCACCACCACCACCACCACTACTACTACTCCTACATACTCTTACCACCACCACCAAACTTCACACAACAACATCCTCGCTCAATCTTCCCTCTCTTCTCCCTTTTCCCCTTCTTCCCCCCCTCCCTTCTTCCCCCCTCCCTTCTTGG